AAAGGGTCACCGAAAACATATGCACCACTTGATTTGTGTATGGGCTGTGATACTGCCCGGGTGCCCAGACCGAAGCAGGTGGTTTCCTTAGGGAGCCACACCCGGGGCCCTTGACCTAAAGGTCTAATCCATAAGACAGTGAAGCAACGTCAGGAGATGCAGTCCCATGGTAGCCAGTGACCAATGATTGGTTCATACGCCATTTGTTCCTTCAGGATACTGGAGCCCATATGCACCATTGGTTTGGAATCACGGTTTTCCAACTCCCCTAGGTAGATCCTCCATATCCACCAACCCAGTTAAGGAGCCGAACATTCGCTTTTCGTCATCTCAATTTCATTAACAACACCGCGAGAACAGAGTGAGTAGGACTTTCGTGGTATTGACTGTATACGCATGGCCACGTGAGAGCATTTCGAGAAGGAGAGCTAACTCTCCCCACCCTCGGCCATACCAAGGCATTTGGGGACAAATGTGGAGTGTTCCACGGGTTTGTGTGTCGTCCTTGCATAGGGGCCATGCTAATCTTACCCTAAAGTATGTGTCGGAGGTGGTATTCGAACCCAGGCCCACATCGTGGACCAGAACACCCAGGAGAACACTCTTGAGTCTGGGACCTTAGACCGCTCGGCCATTCCGACGTGCTTAACTAGATATAATAATAATAAAAATCTTCTTGAAACGAAATATACGACACCAAACTAGACAACGCCTACAAACTTACAACGAATATTGTTTCGCGTTATTCGTATAAGGGCCACATCAATATCAGAGCGTGGGTAGCCTTCATCATCAACTAATGGGGTATCCATACCAACATTGCCATTCTATTTAGAAACAGTTAATGGGCAAGTAAAAATTAACAGTGAAAAATATAGCTGATGACTATCTTTTATACAACATGCGTCAAATGAACAATCGCAGATAAGTAATTTTAACTGGGTACAAATAATTTCAATATCTACAATTCCAGTATATTTTTTGTTAGCTACCACGTTTACCATTCCAATTGTAAATCGTTATAAAAGCTGACCTAACTGTAAAGTGAAAGAATGAAAACAGTATTACTGAACTTGATAAGCTGTTTTTAGAAGAGTACGTCCAGTGAATTAACTATGAAACCGTTACTCAGAGTTATATCCTCGTTATGCACCGACCGGGATTTATTAACTATCCTGTATATAACCCTTCAACTTATATAATTATGCGAGTTTTTGAGTATGATATTTACAAAGAACACAGACACCTTAAGTGACATGTTCATGCACTAAGCTTCAGTTTGCGACTACAACTTCAATATAGCGAACGAGACTGCAGCTATTCTCTTCGTATCTGAAGCGCAACTAGAGCAAGAGGTTTAGTTTCTTAAAAGAAGCTTTATTGATAATGAATCCAGTAAAGTTAAAAATACATATAAGCTAATCAGTTATATATCAAATACAATGATTATAATTTATGAACTGAGTAGTTGTCACTCAACACAAATCATATCAAAAATGCATTAGAAGTTAATAAAGTAATGTAGCGACAATATGCTGGAAGCTGACCTTACACACCGTAAATTCATCTTAAATATTGATTTAGTCCCACATAAGTTTTTTTAAGAGACCACAACCTTAACAACAATGTACCTGGCTGGTCTCCCTAGTGTTCTGATTGATAGTTGGAAAAGTATGAATTCTGTGTGGGACCATTAACTGTTGGCGCTTACAATAACTTCATATATTCAGTGTTATTCCTGTAAACAAATCAAATCATTAATTCTACACTGGAAGTTACAGGCTATGATATCAATAGCAATAATGAAAAGATTACTCGATATAATAGTTGCTGATGCTTAGGATGTTGAATCATTTTCATCGTGTTAAAATAAAAGTAAATGTGAGTTGTAGTGAGGAAAAAATATATTTGAGAGGGAAGAATTATCTAGATACCTAAGAAAATGAGAGCGTTTAAAGCATTTGGATATAAAATAAAACATCATAGACGAAGTTTATTTTGAAACAAGCAAAAGGAACTACTTGTCTTGTATTATATCTTCATCTAGCAGAGTTTCATTCGTTTCTAAACACTTCTAGTTTGATTCACCTAGGCTACAATAGAAAGATGATTAACATACACTATTCACATTCCTTAACTTTCAAAACCGTAACATCAGAGAATATCTGTCTTCATTAGCTTCGCATATGTGATTCAAAGTAAAGATATAAGTTAAACAACATTTCTTTAAAAAAGACGCTTATAACTTTTCATTATTCAATTAAAATAGATTTTTTATATATTTATCACGTACGAAGAAACTCGTTAAAAATGAAAATGTTTCAATTAAACAAAATTTACCTGACGAAGTATTTCACTTAATTCCGATAATTTTTTTTCGATTCTATTCTTTTCATCCACTAATCCATCATACTTCGATTTGATTGAATTAAAGTTATTAGAATTTGTATTAACTGCCTAAAAACAAATTTAAAATACTGAATAGAAAACAGTGTTTTTCCTTAAATGAAACATTTAAGAGCTTCATGGTAACCTTATTAGTCAAAATAACATTCATTCTAACAAGGATACTTGAAAATAATTCTATTTTAATTGCTCTAATCTACATATAGCATAAATAAAACAAATAACAAACAAAATGATTAATATTTCATGAAGGAAAAGAAACAGAACACCTATTGAACTTAATGTATTCAAGATAAGTGTCCTCGTTATTAATAGATAGACTCAAAAATCGAAAACAAATATCGATGAGCTGTACTCAATACAAAATTTGTTAGGTACAAAAAAAGATACAATCAGAAGCTAATACAAACGAAACACCACTTGTTTGCTTGGAATTTGAATCGAAAATAACTTTTCTAGCATGTATACAGCACTATTTAACTAAGAAAATAGATCACATAATTTGGTAATTGTTTGCGAGAATCTAAGTATTTAATAAGATTTGTTCAAAATGAAGACAGAGATTATACTGACATTAGAGTAAAATACTGAAAATTAAACTTTTATAAGGCTTTATTCTAATATGATTATAATTTTAATGCTTTTTCTAAAGTTTTGACATAATTCGTATGTTGAAATATTTATTATTCGTATTACTAATTGTATACATGTCATATTATACATTTTGTCTTATTATGACTAGCGTAAAAACTCCACTTTTATTCTAATATAGATGTGGATGTGAATAACATTAAAAGCTGAAATGTGAGAAGTAGTTGTCTCTCGAAACACTATTTTTATAGCATTAATGCAATAAACACCTAACCATCTAACACTAAGTTAAAGGTGAAAACTAACCTGGACTATGAAAATTAAGATGGCCATCAGCGTAATACATAAATGAAACTGGTCATTAAGTTATATTTATTGAGTTTTACAGTACTGTCACCTGATTAACCAGTAATAGGAGAAATTCGGATGTAAAAATACACATTCTAACTAATATCTCAATAAGAAAAGATAGGAAAACCAAAACCCTATGTCTAGTCACAGAAAGCGCTCCAACATATCTCACATTTATATTTCAATATTGCAACAGTATTTAAAATAAGAAACAAATATACAATACTAGTAGGATAAGAGATCAATAAGTTAATACACAAAAGGTATTCATACTAATAACTATAATTATATGACAGTAGCTTAAGCCATTATAGTAACATTTTTCACACTATCGGTAGGTTGAAAATACTATTACACAAACACCAAGGCATACATGATTTCATTCAAAATATCTCAAATTCAAAGTGATCATGCCAAATATTTAAGTACAAATTACATAAGTGAGATCATGGATAAACCAATCCAATGGTGTCAGCGCTGTTGCCATCAACAAATGTATGCAACAGTTAAGTTATCAAAGCGAATTTCTTCATTTGAAAACAGTAAATTGGTGTACAATCATGGTTTTCTTTACAGTCAACACTTACACTGATTTGAACAATCTACCTGCAGGTTGCCACACTTTACTAGACATAGTCAACTTGTGTGAAAAGAGAATGGAATAAGTTCTTTGATTTTATCTAAGTAAAATGAAGAAAATCAACACCCTCGAAAATAAGGAATTCTTTTTATAAGTATTTCGAATAAATGTAAAATGAAAAATTTAAAAATCATTAAGATGGTAGCAGGAATTTATTTGGAAGCTTTGGTTACAAGTATAAAATTCTTTGAGATAACGGACCTAGTACCTGGATTTCATAAAGTTCAACACTTAGGTTAAATCCATAGAAAACTAATACTGACAAAACCTTATGTCGGTTTAACCAAATATCCGGTCAGAATACTTGGATTCCGGTAATTATTTTTGTAAATTAAAACCATCAGGCAAATATTGTCACACAAATATCAAAAATACGGATGAAGAGTTCTGTTGTACACGTTCCGGACAACAGATTGAAATACATAAAATTTTCAATTTCTATTTACCGCTCATTTTTACATCATATTATATGGTTGTCCAGTGCCGCAAGGCTCTCAAACCTTCAAGTCGCAAATCTGAAACTGACACCACGTACATAGCATTGAGGAATTTAGTTGTATCGCAAAGGATCACAAATGAGACCTGTTAAACGGGTAAGTAGGATTCAGTCAGTAGAGTTATAAAAAATACTTTCACTAAACTAGTGCTGCAAATATAATCAAATAATAATCAAAGAATGACTGAAATACATCTATTTTAGTGATAAACTAACATGAAAACTCAAGATTAGAGTTTTCAAACAATATCCCAGTCTTCATTAAACCCAACAAGAAAAAGAAAATTAGTTAGCAAACCAAATTTACTTCAAATAATGACTGATAAAAAGGTGATAGTTAGAGATCCACTTTATTGATAAGTAAAATATCTTAAAAACACAAACTATAAAGTAACAAAATGGTGAAAAAACCTTAGTAGTGACAAAAAGTTTATTTACACAGTTGTTTTACACTAAAAATGGGATGACATGGATATATTTACAAAACTTTATATGAATGTATTTAATTTTCGTATTTTAAAATGGAGCGATAAAGGTTAAATTGGTTAAAGCGTCACATATAGTTTTACGATCAGGAACTTCTGTGAATGGCTCCAATTCATTTGTTAGCGCAATCAATGGGATTAAACATGTTAATAAGCCATCGAGTAGTAACGACTCTACACCTACAGGGTCAACTGGTCCCTGTAAAACAAATATAAGAAAACAAGCACATTAAGTACATATATATATATATATATATATATATATATATATATATATATATATATATATATATATATATATATATATATATATATATATATACATATATATAATCAACCTTTTACTTAATGAAACAGCATGCAATACGAAAAACAAGATTCTACTTTAATAAACTTAGACTGCAGATAACCTTCACTATGATACATCGATCTAGAAGATTTCAAATGGTTTTTCGCGGCGATACTATAATTTGTGGACGAACCAATCAGATTTACGATAACAGGTCTTAGATTTTAGCGCGAAATTCATTCACCCATTTGGCTAAATAGTCTTGGCATTATAGCTGATGTCAGTTAGTGATGAAAACCCTAAATCTAATTCCTAACCCTAACTATCGAATGTAAATCATAATCCTTATTCTTCAAACTGCTTTATAACCCTCATTTAGCACTAGTAGGTAGGCACCGTTTTCGCAATACATTCACCGTTTGGATCATACCTGCAGTAAAATTCACGATAATCCAGTAGATTATAGGAGCGAGATTTACTATTTCCGCTTAAGATAGGTACAAATGTCACATGATGCTGTAGACAAAAGAGTGAATTCAATTTTCGTTACAGTTTATTTGCTAAATGGCTATGTAGTGAAAACTAACTTTTAGTGAGAAAGTGTCTTCAAAGTAAAAATACAGTGGCTCAATATTCCGAACTGTTATTTAAGCATAACATAAAATGACTTAAAATATCTGATTGTAGGATATATCGCCTCAAGTTTTTGTAACAAACATACTAGACTGATATTTAATTATCCGACAAAACAGGTAATGAACTACATATGTATTGCATAAATTCAGAGATAATGTTATGAACAGTAAACGTCTAAATAAACAATTTCTCTAATCACAACTGATTTACGCTACTAATTTTCTGGTCATAAAGAACTATCATAGGTGAAATTTCCAATTACCTCATAATCATTAACATTTTTAGAAAATGTTGAAAACCGATCACTTAAAAGCTGGAAATGAGCGGCCAGATCAAGCAAACTATAAAATGTTGTTTGTGTGCGACTGAGTTGAACTTCCAAACGATCACGTTCTCTTAATTTTCTATCTTCGGATAGAACTTCCCGTTTTCCATGCTGTTCAATTTGTTTTAAAAGACGCTTTGCCTTGTTTTTCCATTCGCGTTTAACTTTTTCTGGCACTGTTAACCACAAAGCCTTAAACAAAAAAGTTAAGTTGGATAAAAACGAACAGAAAAGTGCATTCGAATTAACTAATCAACAATTTATCGTGCTGTATTACACCAAACTCGACAATATATCTGCAAACAGCCAGCTAGGCAGCAGCACTATGTATCCCATGTTGATTAAAACCATACAGAACATGCCAGGTTTCGTTGGCCAACTACAGACGTAGGTGAGGATAGTTAACTGATCAATAAATGAAAATTCACTTGGGTACCCTAGATGGCTAGTAGCTACTATCCTTATACACATAAGAAATATTTCAAGCACCTAGGTAAGTAGATTTACGTGCCAAATTAAACTTTCTACATAGTTCTATATTATTATGCTGTCAGTTACTCAAATCCCTGTTAAAAATAAACATTTTATAGCGATTCTTATAAAAAATCTCATCACATCGCAATTGAATACTATACAATTCGTACTTGCTAACTCTTTTAATTATGTCTGACTTGTTCAATATTTTCTTGATTGCATATAAGTCTATTCTTCTTAATAATAGATGAAAAAATCAGAACAGTTACATAAGGTCTATTGGGATCCAAATACTGTACAATGATTCATACCTTTAGAACTTAATTTACCAAAACGCATAAATATGATATTTACAATAAGCTGAGTCAACTACAAAACTGTATATACTAGGATGTGAGTGTTTCTCGGTTACTCATGTTTTCCAGTAGTCAATTTTATAATTAACTTCGCCTGAAGCCCCTCTGGGGCTACTACCGATCCCGTGCCCGGATAATGACAAGATCAACAAATTCAAGATAGCCCACAACAATAGGTCCTAGGCCTTTTACGATCTACTCAATGGAAGAGGGAACTACCATGGAGAACAAATGGAACGGGATCAAAGAGGTAATCGCTTCAACATGTCACGAGGTTCTGGGCCACAAGAAGCACCATCACAAGGAATGGATCACTGTTGATACAATCAATATCAGCCGAAACAGGAGCAGAGAAAGCCAAGGCACAAGCTGAATACACAGAAGCAAACAAGCAAGTGAAGTGTAGCATCAGAACTGACAAACGTAAATATGTGGAAGATTTAGCAATGACGGTGGAAAAGGCCGCAAGAGAAGGAAACATGAGACAACTGTATGACATAACAAAGAGACTCTCTGGAAATCACCGTAAACTAGAACGACCAGTGAAAAGCAAGGAAGGTAAGGTAATCACCAACATTGAAGAACAACTAAACAGGTGGGTAGAACACTTCAAATCACTCTTGAATCGACCAGACCCACTGAACCCACCAAACATCGAAGCAGCACCCACGGACCCCCCTCCCAATCGATGTTGGCCCACCAACAATTGAAGAAATCAGCATGGCCATCGGACAGATCAAGAGTGGCAAAGCAGCAGGACCAGACAACATTCCAGAGGCACTGAAAGCAGACGTAGCGGTAACTGCAAGAATACTCCACATTCGCTTCAGAAAGATTTGGGATGAAGAACAAGTACCAACAGACTGGAAAGAAGGACTTCTGGTCAAAATACCAAAGAAAGGTGATCTCAGCAACTGTGACAACTACAGGGGCATCACTCTTCTCTCAATAGCAGGAAAAGTCTTCAGCAGGGTACTGTTAAACAGAATGAATGATTCTGTAGACGCCCAACTTCGAGACAAACAGGCTGGATTCCGTAAGGATCGATCATGTACAGACCAAATCGCAGCAATACGGATCATTGTGAAAAAATCAATTGAATGAAATTCATCACATTACATCAACTTCAATGACTACAAGAAAGCATTTGATAGAGTGGCGGCCTCTTCGACACTACGGTGTGCCTCAGAAGATAGTCAACATCATACGGAATTCCTATGATGGACTAAACTGCAAAATCGTGGGTGGAGGACAGCTAACAGACTCGTTCTTAGTAAAGACCGGTGTCAGGCAAGGTTGCTTATCCGCACTCTTCCTCTTTCTCCTGGTGATCGACTGGATCATGAAGACGTCAACATCTTAGGGGAAGTATGGGATACAGTGGACAGCTAGGATTCAGCTGGACGATCAAGACATCACAGATGTTCTGGCTCTTCTATCGCACATGCAACAACAAATGCAGGAGATGACCAGTGTAGAGACAGCCTCAGCATACAGAAAACGAAAAGCAAGATTCTCCGATACAACACAGCATGCAACAGTCGAATCACACTTAACGGAGAAGCTTTCGAGGATGCAAAAACCTTCACATATCTGGGCAGTTTCATTGATGAGCAAGGTGGATTTAATGCATATGTGAAGGCGCGATGCGGCAAAGCAAGAGCAGCATATTTACAATTGAAGAACATCTGAAACTCAAAACAACTCTCAACCAACACAGAAGTCAGAATTTTCAATACAGATGTCTAAATAGTTTTACTGTCTGGTTCGGAAACTTGAAGAACGACGAAAACAATCATCCAGAAGATACAAGTATTTATTAACAGCTGTCTACGCAAAATACTTCGAAGTAGGTCAAAGAACATATTACACCGAGAAATAGAAACAAAAATGGAAAGAATGAACAATAATTCATTAGAACTCGAAAGGAAGGCCCAGGATAGAGTGGTTTGGAGAATGTTGGTCAGCAGCCTACCCTCCAATGGGAGTAACAGGCGTAAGTAAGCAATTTTATATTTGACACTCCTAGTTTTCAGCTACATAAATCTTAATTTCTCGGTTCGCATTTATTAATTTGAGAAAAACGGTCAAGAAAATTGAAAAACCATAAGATATTTTACTGAAAACTAAATTTTTGCTGGTTTGCAAATGCAAACTTCCCTAATTCAGGGAATTATTACTTACTAAGTCTTAACTCAACTAGGTGCTTTAGAAACCGATGAGAATTTTGAGTTCTTACGGTTTTTTGCTGACTTCATGTGCAAGATCATCGGTTGGTTATGTATACGATTTAACCACACTACCGAACCTTAACTTTGATATAAAGAATATAGCGAGAACATGAATAAGCACTATCTTTCAAAGTGATTAAAACAATAAAACAGAAAGATAAAATATCTATTTTAGCAGAGGTTACAAACCTGCCATCTACGATTGGATTTCTGGTTTTCTTTTCCTGAACTCGAGATACCAAGGCCAGTTTGTATGTTATCATTGGCATCATTTGTATCATCAATGGGTGTCGAGCCTGGAAATGATTCATATTTTTTCTTATTGACATGCACGAAAAGTGAATACCCATTGAGACGTCTGTAATGCTTAAATTCCTTGATATATTGGATACATATAAGTTAGAAGTATTCAGTAAATTATACACATGACCAAAATTATAATACAATACATAGTTATTGTAAATCTATCAAGAACACTAATGATCTATTTGATATAGTTTGTTAACTTGTTTCAATTTTATATTCGCGATTCTCTCAGGTGACCACTTCAGTTTTACTCATTGGGTTGCAATTCAAATTTTCTTTAACATAACTAAGTTTCATGCAACTAAATAGTATTTTTGACAGTGACAAAAAATCTGCAATTGATGCAAAAACTCAAGCCTTATTAATCAATTGCATTACATTTTCTATCATTTGTTTCTTTTCAACCTATGATTAAAAAATTAGCGAGCAATACAAAGGTTTTCAGTTTTATTCCTGGAGTGCTCAACACTAAGTCGTCCTATTAGTTTTATTTAAAAAACTCTCAAGTTTAAAAACGAGTGCACCAATTTTGAATTAGCTATTGTTTTATGCAAACAATATCATTCTATTTGCGAGATATATATATATATATATATATATATATATATATATATATATATATATATAGAGAGAGAGAGAGAGAGAGAGAGAGACATATTTGACAGTATGTTAAGTGTTAGTACAACTAATACGAAGCGATACGTTAGTTTAAAATGAGGAAATTTCATATTCCAGCTTCAAACAGCCAAAATGAAGCTAATAACTAATAAAAGAAAATAAAATTCTGATTAGTTGATTGGGGATCTACAGTTAATTTGAGGCCGAATGTAATACGATAAGAAGATTTAAAACCTTATCAAATGGGTAAATAAAGTAATGATTTCACGGTGACGAAACACTTCAGTAACTAGACATCAACAACTTTCTGGACAGTTGTCTAACAACTACATATTAATTCAAAGAAGCACTTCAATTCCAAACTTGTTTCTTGATAAATACAAACAAATCTTATCAATACTACGGATGCTAACCTGGTCGATAGTATTTTTAGTCAAATCAAAAGAACAAGAATTCATTGAACTGAAGTAAGCAAATGAGGAAGAAAACAATAATGTCTGTCTTTCAAATATTTACAATCAACCTGTCCGAATTTCATAATACGTTACAACATAATAATATAAATAGCATGACTAATATTTGGATTCTTGAATAAAAAACCAAGAGAAAAATGTGAATGACTAGTGAAAACTGACCTCAAAGTCGATATCATTTATTCCTGCACTACTTTTCATCCGACCAGTAGTTGATATAGAAGCATTAACTGTCGTTGATGTCTCTTCAATATTTTCTTCATTGATAGTTGATAAACCACTCGAAGTATTATTTGTCACTAATTTGTCATTTTCAAATGAAACTAAACCATCTATGTTATAATATGAAAAACAACAATATTGTGGTAAGGATATTTGTAGCTATATATATATATATATATATATATATATATATATATATATATATATATATATATATATTACAAAAGCAAATTTTAAATCTTTCACAATCATTTGATGAAGTAGATTATCCGAAAATAAACTAATTTAGGTATAACTTTCATTAAGGGATGATATTTCGTAAAGAACTATTGAAAATTAAGAAATCATCTTAGTAAAAAAATTTCACACATCCGACTATGTGCAAGATTGGAGTTTACACTTTCCAATCTAGTATGTTTTTAAAATGTTTTCTAGCATATATTAGTATGTGATCGAAACAAGTATAGTATTTTTGTTTGAGCAAAATTATATATAATGAAATACTATAAATTGAATTCACTTGAGAAATGCAACACTTATATTTTGATTGATATTTTTCTAAACCACTTCCTAATATTTATAGTAAAGGTACATTATAGGTACAGGAATTTAACATTCTTAAATAGGAAAAAAACGATCAAACCGACATTCCACTTTTTATAGTCTTAGAGACTTCATATGCTTTAGTCATGAAAACTAGTCAAAATGTTTAAATAAGCACACTTTGACAATTTATTATGCTGAGTTTACCCTTTTTTCTATAAAATATAGGAGTTCATAAATAAACCATGGGAAGATTTATTATGAGCTAAAAATTAGATGAATAAATAGGCTATTAAATGTAGTAGGAAATTAATCATGTGGCACTTTAAGTCGTATCGTTTTAAAGTGAAAACTCATCTTGTATTAGTTATTTGAATCTTCCTATTGGTTTTTAGGACTGCAACTAATTAGTCCTTTATTGGCATACGTGCATCCTGTGCGAATTGCCTCAATATTACCTGAAGTCATAAGCATATATAAACTAACTAATCCTATATGCTTAAACAAGATACACTTTTTATTTATTTTATTTTATTTTAACACATAAATATCGGTACAAGAAGGCACCAAATACATATGCGCCACACAGATCTCATTTGATATGTGTGTGGGCTGTGATACTGCCCGGGTGCCAAACCGAAGCAGGTGGTTTTCTTAGGGGGCCACACCCCGAGCCTTCGACCTGAAGATCTGATCCACAAGGCAGTGGAGCATCGTGAGGAGATGCAGTCCCATGGTAGCCGGTGACCAACGATTGGTTCATACGCCATTTGTTCCCGCAGGATACTGGAGCCCATGTGCACCATTGGTTTGGGATCCGGTTATAGCGCCGGACATTCGCTTTTCGTCCTCTCATTTTTGTAAACAACACCCCCGCCACTAGAAGGCAGTGAGTAGGACTTTGATATGTTAACTCACTTTACAAATTTAATGATGAAAATCGATGATACAAATCCTGATTCTTATAATGCTTTACCACAAGTCCCATCGGATGACATATTCAGTTTGCAGTATTGAACATAACAATTGATGTTTATTTGCTGGATTGTGGAAATTAAATTAAGTACGTGTTTTTTGTAATGGGCTACAGAAAAACAGGGAGAATTGTAGCTCATTCGTCCTAGTTTAGGATTTTTCATCAGTGAGGACTTATGATCTTGCCAACGGCAGAACCCAGACCAACGCCTTAGGGCCAGCGCGTCACCATTAGACCACTGAGTCAGGATTTACGTTCAAGTTTTACATTATAGTTTAACAAGGGTTCATAATTTATCAAGCGATATATTCAGCGATCGCAGTCAAGTACATACACATTTTTTGGCCTTTTAAACTTCCATAAGCTAAGAAATCGAAAATCATTTATCATTCAGATACAGTGTAAATATCAAATAGTGTTCATTTTGATGCAACAACATGGTTTGTATCAATTTAATTCCACCAATTAGCAACCAGTAATTAAGATGACAAAATTCAACTTTGAAGACAGATATGCATAACACGAAAGCCGAGAAAACCGGAACTCAGCTTTACTCCTCTCACATGACACAGGTACTTAAAAGGAAAACCCTTGACTAAGGTTAACATTGTTTTTCAGAATAAAAGGAAAAAGATTCATAGAATCATCGCTCAACACATGCCAAATCAAAACACACTATTGTGCAAAGTTAGTTTGTAATGAATGGAATCTTTTGAATCGTCTATAGATAGTGTAATGGAAACATTAATTTAAGGGAAAAAACAGCTACACAAAGTAAGAAATACATTCACAAATAAATCAGTTAGCTTACCAAACTTAGACATTAGATCAAGTGCAGGAAGTAATAAGTTTCCAGGTGGATGAAAAGGTCGCAAGGTTAGAAGAAGAGGTTGTTGTACAGGCTAAATAAAACAGATAATCCCGTTAAAAAGACTAATGGCTCGTGAAATATGTTTAAAAGTTAAATATTAAGCATATAAAACTAAAATGCTTATGATTTACTAAAATATTTAGTTAAGTAAACTGTTCATCATACTGATATTTATCACCCACGATGAAACTGGAATTCCAGTATAATTCCTACGAAATGATACAAAATCAAACACAATGCCACAAACGCACTTATTCTTTATCTTTTCTTGTATCTTAAGTTTTAGTGTTATTTCATATTTGTCGTTCCCCTGTTTTATACCTTTGTCTAAACTATGTCCTTCAAGTTTAGTCTTTCCATTTATGATTGATTTCGACCCATCCACAAATGTAGCAGGTTCCACGTTGCTTATGACTGACTAACACTAGGATTATGTCGACCTCAATTCTAATTATCCCGTTAATTTCATTTCTCCATTTGGTACGAGAATTTGGGTTAATGTACGTTTGTATTAGATCCGGCGCTGATCATGAATGATTAACTGAATTTTAAAACGTAAAAATGAATATATTATTTACTGCATCCGTTCATGCGCAAGGAGATACACGACACAATATATTTATACCATACAATACAATTATACAAATCCTAATCACTAATCCAACAAACCATTTCTGCATACAAAAAACTGAATGTCAACGTGTTTACTGTTACAACAACATACACTAGTTTTTGTACTGAAATCCATTGAAATCAATAGAGTACCAGCAAACCTAAAAAAAATACTCAACACTTTACTGTCTATTAAATATTGAATAACTGATAAACGGAAGAGCATAACAGAAGCCAACATGCTCATCCCAAGGATATTTGGCTCATATGTAAGTATCAACTAAAGAAATATCACTTTTGCACAACAGCGAAAGATTTTCCTTGAGATAAAATTAAAACAGAAAATGCATAAATACTGAAATCAAAATAAATGACCACAAACAAACTAATCAATTAGACTTTGTAGTGTAAAACATTGAAAGGAGGCTTTTTAAACCCTAATACACCAAATGGCCTTGAATTCTTCACCCAATGATTGAAATTTGAGTGTCTGCATTACTAAGTTACTCTACCCGATCTTATGTACTAACAGGTAGTTTGTCACATAGAGCTTTCTACTCTCCAATACTAATAATTTTCAAAAGTACCGATTACTAGGTAGAAAAAGTATTTTTAGATAGCTAATTTAACTAATGAATTAAGATCCTTGGTAGTGTGATACATGCAAACATTTTACATGACTTACCTTTGGAGCATTTCGCCGCCCTAGAATTATAAAGCAATAAAATTAAAAAGATATCAAAATTCAGTACACAATCGTTGATATCATTTAGTAGATCTATTGCTCGAAATGAAGTACACAAATCCATTCAATATACTATTCAAAGCTGTTGCCCGAAATGATGAAAAGCTTAAGTACTAATGGCCCTGTTTACACACTTTTGACCATAATTGATATGGATTACCAGTTACTATATAAGTGCAACTTCTAAACTGGAATATTGGGTCAACATTTCAGGATAATTATCTCCTCATAGACGACTGCGTATAACTGCATTCCTTACTTAAAATATAAGAAAAAAACAACTGAAAATAAACCCTGTAAATGTGACTATGATCATACGTCAAGTTTATATACCTTGCGTTCAGGATGCTATATCCTCAAATAAAAAGCGTATAAGATCAATCTTCATTTCCCACTTTGATTTAAGGTGATTTGCACTGAATTAGTTTCAACACATTTTCGTTGTACTACACTATTCCGAGTGAATTGTATTAATTAGCTTCTAGTTGTAGTTACTTGTTTGATTCTTGTATTGATTACTTTAATAAGATTTTGTGTTCAGTGACAATTACTCTGTTCAGTCAGCAACAACGTGGAACTTCGTACGCACGTACATCAGTTCGAGTTGCCATACCACATTAGCACAGAGATTCAGTTATCGATTCAAATCCCGTAGTGGTAGAGGTAGTGAAAGTATAAATAGTAATAGGGAACATTAGGGTTTGATGATGTTATTTGAGGAGTATAATCCAGTGGAATAAATTTGGAAGGAAAATAAAGGACATGAAAAATTCAGAAAATTAGAGTTTGGGAGAACCCAAAGAGTAGATGCACCTGCGCCATTGCAAACGATTTTGAGACCTGGTATGGCGGAGTGGGCCCGCCCTCCCTCTCGAAATACTCTCACACAGCCACGCGTTTACAGCCTCTGCCAGGGAAGTCCTACTCACTGCCTTTTCGTGGCGGGGGTTTTGTTTACGGAAATGAGAGGACGAAAAGCGAATGTCCGGCGCTTTAACCGGATCCCAAATCAATGGTGCACATGGGCTCCAGTATCCTGCGGGAACAAATGGCGTATGAACCAATCGTTGGTCACCGGCTACCATGGGACTGCATCTCCTCACGATGCTCCACTGCCTTGTGGACTGGACCTTTAGGTCAAAGGCTCGGGGTGTGGCCCCCTAAGAAAACCACCTGCTTCGGTCTGGACACCCGGGCAGTATCACAGCCCACACACATATCAAATGAGATCTGTGTGGCGCATATGTATTTGGTGCTCTCTTGTACCAATATTTATGTGTTCAAATAAATAACATCATTCATATCTCTAACCATCGGTTGCTATCGTCTCGCGGACCCCAACCAGGTAGTCTACACCTACCAACATGGCTCAGTCCACTTGTCAGTGACTTCATGGATTTGTGCCATGTTTTGGTCTGGCCGCCCCTAGCTTTCTTCCAACCTACTCCTACACCATAAAACATTGCACGTCGGGGTAGTTAGTGGTAGGGTATACGTAACACATGTCCCAGCCATCTCAACTGATTACGTTTCACTACTTCATCAATTGATTTGCCATCCTTACGTAGTACCCGTTTCCTAACTGTTAAAAAGACTCTGTAATTAATGATCAATTAATTGATGTATAACTGGGCCAACTTGGATGTGAATCATAACTTAATTTGGTCTCTCAACAAATCTTAACAAAATCTGTCTTTTGGAGTAGCTAAGTTAGAAGAGAGCGGTTGTTTACTGTATTGGAATTTTTGTTGGAGTTATCACTCTTATTCGCAGCGGTAAAATCTTGCTTCTGATTTTTATATGGTGAATATCATGATGGCTAAGTTTTATTTTTTTTAAGCTACTCAACAATATTGAACTTTGGTCAATGTGGATAGTTATCATCCAATAGGCAATTACGCATATATGCTTATCAATCAGCATGAGGAGTACTTTAACTATTTTGAAACCACATGTAGCATTCGAGCTTATCATTTAAATATTTGAAGCCGAATAAATAACAGATGAATTTAGCTAAGACAGTTAGCTATGCTGTTCAAGTTACGCGTATATATTATTAGTAAACGTAACCTTATTTAATTACTAATGTGACTGATTTGCCAATTACAAAATTTTGTGCTCAGCTTTAAGTCACACTTTATGTGATGGCAAGTGATACTGCCTGTCTGATCAGACCAGGGTAGGTAGGAAGGAGTACAAACCTGTAGACTATTGACTGAGCCGCATGGTTTGACAAGTAACCCACCAATCCACTACTTTGATTAATGTGGTACTCTAATTTATCTGCTAATTCAAGTTTACGAGCATACGATATTACATCCAAAACAAACAACGATAGAGTTACTACAGATGTTTTTTGTTTATCGTTTGATGCTAGATATAACTACCGTAAACAAAGATCTTTATTTTTCTATCAAACAATTCTATTCCTCATGAGTAAGTTTTGATGTTTGTTTTTTTTTAAATACGTTTCTCTCTTCTTATTTTGCTAACTTTTCACTCATTATAGTGCTTCAAAATGTAGAAACTTAGATCGATGGGGCGAAATTGTGCCTAATTAAACAGTGGGTGAGTGAAAATTCTAAAATAATAAAAACCTATTCGACTATTTTGTGGGTTTTATATTTTAAACTCTTTACCGTGCTGTTTGTCCGTTCACTATCGGCCAGTAACTACAACACTAATAATAAACCAATAGCGACTCAACATACAGCAATTTACTCTCCACAATGATCTTTTTTCTGGCTAAAGTGAAGCTGTAATCAACAACAATAAAATGCAATTCGATAATGAAGTTTATATTTTACCAACGCCAACAGTAGTATACCTGAACGTTTCGTTTGTGCCCGAATGCGAGGTTTGGTTGCTCGGACTTTTGTAGATGATTTTTCTTCAGATGAATCACTGTTACCTTCGGGATTATTAGGATTGAACTCATTCCTAGGTCTCTTCAAGTTTTTGTTTTTTGAATTCAGAAAACAGGTCCCATCGCTAGTACCATCTTGTTGATTTTGATTCCAAACCGACGGCAATGACAAAGATAAGGGTTTATCTTCAAAAGGGTTTATATTAACTATCTTTCTTTGTAAGGTTTCTCCAAAGTTGTTACCTAGCTGTCCAACACTGGACTGAGTATTTTGACTTGGCACATCACTCAAAATACTTTGCAAACAGCCACCACGCCAAATAAGTTGGCTTCCTGGGTTACTTTGTTTTGGAAATAACACGACACGTTGAGCGACTTTCTCTCCCGCACTTTCTACCAAGTTGTTACCTGGTACAGATTCTGTGGTTGGTAACTTGATGATGGATAAACCAGGATGAGTCATATCACTGGAATCGATCTTTAAAATTAAAAATCAAAAGCTACAATATTGTATAAGCAAGTGCTTTGAAAGAAACTAGGAAGAATGAGATGCCTCTTTACTTCCAGAATTACATCGCGTACACACAAGTTACAAGCATAAAAATCAGAAACCTACATTAGAGCTCAAAAATGTCAAGTAGAATAACAATTGACTTTACTCAATTTATCGTAAGAGGTCTATTGTGAAATCCCATAAACGCCTACCAGTAAATGATTGTCAAATTAATGAGAAGCAAGAAAAACAAGAAAGCACTACCTCTCTAATTTATTGAAAAGGATCACTATACTGTACAAAAAATTTGTGATTTTGTTGTAACATATTATCGGCTTCGTTGAATTTAAAGTGGACTTATCATTTGGGTTAATTTGCTGGTTTTGGGATCCCTAACAATCGATTGGAATTTCAACCTGTTACCGTGGTTACAAATACGATTCGGAGCTTCAGAGTTAAAAGAATTATTTTTATTTCAGAACCTCATAAGCCGATCATAGACTGTCCAAAACAGAAATATAACATTCGTTACATTTAGCACTGAATCCAGGTATTACATCTTGGATATGGAAATAAACCTAGCAAAAGGTTACTTGCAATCTTGCCCTTTCAAAGAAAATAACTAGTCAGTCCGGACAAAAATCAAAACTTGTGTGGTAAATAATAGGGTTTTAACGTAAAATTAGGAAAATACTGCGGACTATTGATCCTACAATTCTGAGAGCATTACTATAACGCTTGGAATAAATAAAAACAAGTTCATGTCTCAATTGGGAAGAAATAGCGTCACACGAGCCCAGAAATTTACCAGTTACCAGTTTCTATTCGAGAAAGTTATAGTAAGGAACGTAAATGAATAAGGAATGGCATTTGTCATTCGTTTAGACTTAGACATCAAACACTAGCACATTATTACCAAGACATCACTGTTACAATCTTTGGAAAAAACCTGTTTTAACAGTAATTCACAATATGTAAGAACGTCTCGCTATTAAATAACGTAATGAGATTTTGCTTTAGGTTATTCCCCCCCCCCTATGTGCGTTTAGTTATTTATTTAAGCACAGAAACGTTGGTGCAAAAAGCCAGAAAAATAAATACGCGCCAAATAATAAGAAAATAAGATTGTGAAGAGATAGGGAAAGGAAAATGATAATTTGGAAAAAAGGCATAAATGAACAAAAATAGGTATATAAGTCAAAAATAATGGGAGAAGCAGTTCAGTTGAGAAAATACCAGAAAGAATCCTTTCAGTTAAAGCAGCATGTCTCACATCTATAAAAGCAAAAGGAAATTAGAGCATCATTAGCACTGGATTTATTTCAACCCATATCTAACCTTACAAGCCTCTGTGTAACACTATCTTTCAGACCCCAACCAGGAAGTCGTGGAAGTCACATAGGCTGGTCTGTACAACTTTTTTGTACACCACAGACGTCACCTACGCGAAAATTCACGAAGAGTACTGTAAATCAACAGTTAATCTACTTTTAGTTACAGCTTTACACAAGAGCTATTTGAGAGTATTGTGGAAATTCATACAGGACTCCTTAATATATGAGGAGCGACTGGACACATAAATCGATCTTATTATTATAGGACTCAAGACAATCTCCTACTAACACTGTAGAGTTTGAATATTTATTATTTATTTATTTTAACAGATAGATATCGGCACAAGGAGGCACCGAAACCGTCAAAGATGCTCAAAAACATGGTCGGATAAACCAAATTTTGAGTTCCCCTCACTTTGTTGAGCAGTCAAAGACTGGGACTCTATATATAAACAATAGTTTATACAACTTAAGTTGCATTATTCAGTGAATATCATCAGAAGAGAACTGGATCTTTACAGAAATACAAACTGCATGCGCCAAAGAAAATGCTGAGCTACTATTCATATTACTGTGAAGAAAATTGACCAACCACAAATTTGCACAAATTTTTGTGAAAATCAGACAAAATATCAGTCTCCATCTATTTAAAGCTCTTTTACAAAAATGATATTAAATATCCACAGAATGCAAATTCCGTAGACTTCATACAGATATCCATAAACTCCCCATGAAAGAATCGCATTTTCCACGAAATCGGCTTTACAAAAAACAGCAATCTCTCAGAGGATTGCGAAAACAAGGCATATTACTGCTAAAAATTTAGAAAGTAGTAGCGAACGTAGACGTAATCACCGGAATGCTAATTAATAACACCGTTACATAGACCTGAAGATCTATAAATCAATACATTAACGTGCAGATACTGAGAGTGAAGTCACTCCAACAGCACAAAACCTGAAAGTCTTCAATTACATCGAAAGTTCTAGTCAAGTACAAAGAAAAACCCGATTCAACTTAGTCGTTCACAGCTCAGTTGAATCATGAAAAACTGAGCTTCGAAGTCCAGGATAACAAAATAGAGAAGAAATGACATTGCACCCCGCGTTTAGTTTGAAGTTATTTTGGGTGCTAATGGAGCGTGAACAGCTGTTCACGACAGGCGAAAAAGGCGACATTTTGGCGCGTTTTCCCCTAAATTTCCCCTTTCTTTACCAAAGCATTTTCCCCTTTATTTCCCCTTTTTTCGCCTTTATTTCCCCTTTGTTGGTTGATTGGGAGAAGAAAAACCGGGAAGGAAAATAATAAAAATGGACCCAGATAGCAAACACATGGAATGCACTTACATCTAACAATCTAAGCAATCAACAAAGTCAGCAATAACACTAGCGTACAATTAAGACTGTCCGGTAGCCGAAACCGTGGGCTGAAAGAATTAGGCTGAGGATGACCTAAACAAGGTTGACTCGATTTTGGCTCCGTGGCCTTGAGAGTGGGATTCATGGCCTACTTTGGAAAACAAGCATCAAATTAACAACCATCCGAAAATCACCGAAATAACTTCAATATCTCTATCAAATAAATGCATAAATCACTACCGATTTCGTTGCACTCGCTTCTTGTTGTTTCGGTTCAGTTCCGGGTATTTTAGTGTCTGCAGTGGTAAATAAATCCCTAAATAAATAGTTCTGTAAGTCTTCGGCACTTGATGCTGCATGCATTAGTTTTACTGGACTCACCTAACTGAAGACGCTTGGCAACGCACACACATCAGTGGGTTACGTCGTGTTGTCCATGTCTTACATCCGTTAGTCAGTTTAGATCAAACGAACCTCTTCACTGCTGATCTCTGGTCTGACTGGGTTAAAATACATCAATTACGGAGGCGTTACTGGTGATTGCGTCGTCAAAATACGAATACCTGTGAAATATTTAGTTGTGAGCCCAACGTGTTCTGGCACACCCATTCATAAACTGTGATTCTTTCCCTTGAAGGAACTTTATGTATAATTTTTCTTACATACTGTGTATTGTTTTCATATATCCGTATATTTTTCTCCTGCACATTGGCACATTACAACTCCATCAATACGTGTGACATAAGATGACCACGTGAATAGTATGCAATGACCAGAGAGTTTACTGAGGCGTAAAAAAGGGCTTTAAGTTCTACGAGACAGCTAGCAAATTGTGTAATGAACAAGCAGGTTAAAGTGCTAAAGGTCACATAGCGGTCAACAAATCACCAAAAAAAATAGCTCTGTAAGTTTCCGACATTCGATGCTGACCACAGTTTTAATGGACTCATCTAGCTGAAGGCGCTCGGTCATGCATTCGCACCAGATCACGTGTGGAAACGCCGTGCTCAACAATCCCTGCAATCGCTAGCCAGATTAGACCAGGCGATCCTCGACATATTGATAGTTTATCAAATATATCTTCGAACCTCCTTGCTTCTGTCTTTTGATTTCACTTGGTGGGTACACTTCATATTAGAAGGTGTTACTGGTTAAAGCGTTGTCAAACTCCGAATACCTGTGGCATCTTCAGTCTCCTACTCAACATTTCTGCAGTTTCATGCTTGATACCAGAATACACGCTGCCAAAAATGGTTCCCTATGCATAATACCCAATATTATGGTGTAGGCTACTTACGTCGACTGATATAAATAGTATGTGGCACCAGTTGGAAGTGGAGGGACTACGAGCAGAAGAGTGTGAAGGTCGAATTGAAGATGACAAAAAGAAACAGAGGGGAGTTGGAATACCAACCGAATTTGAAGAATGAAGAAGTATGTACTGGAAACTGAAAAGAAGTGTGCAAATAGTTTATTCATTGTATGATTTTAATATTTTACGAAAGCACTCTGTAATTCTCACCAAGTTCTCGTTCATCAAAGCATCACCATGTCAGTTATTTATCATTCACATAAGTGTGTAGGGCCAGTTAAGTGTTATTTGACCCTAGCCAAATCATCTGATAGGTAAGTCACCGAATCTCGAACAGTCTACTGATTCTCGTTGAGGTGTAGGATTATAATCTAGTTCGTTACTAGTACTAATATAATAGTAGACTCAATCCTAAAATTGTAGATATGTCATGATGTGAAAACCTAATCCACAAGATCCCACATGAAAGTCACATCATTGACTACTCCGACTCGTCGGATTGTAACAGACCGCGATGTAACAATTGGCGTTTGTAAAGGACACATATACGTTAGAGACAAAATAATATATTCAATGTCAGTAAAGACATGTTATACAGAAGAAGCACGTCTGTGCGACTGATCCATGCCATCCAATTGAATTGAATGAATGTCCCCGCGTTCACCATTATTGGCCTTATCTTCGTGCTAAGTGTTGAATAACTATTTTCGCAGTTATCTCACGTTCAGATTCGAGGATTATGTAGTTATGACTAATACCACTACAAAGGTGCAGAAAATCCAACGTGCATCAATGAATTATATGTCATGGACAGGAGCATGAGTTAGCGGTTTCGTCTTGTATTTCCGTCAACTGTAAATGCGAACGTGTGATGTTGCCCAATGAGCGTCCTTATCAAAGCCAACCACCTGATTTTCACGACAACATAATGAGTTTAGAGTGAGCTAGAATTTCACACCACTTCCGTCCAACACGTGTGGCTCTCAATCACCTACATAAACAATCTACAGATACTTTGATTTTCTGGAAATTAAAGCTAGCAGGTTTAAGGTGTTCAATCATGTATAATAATTCAGAGATCCACATTTTCAGCAGCAGCTACGGTAGTGATCAGCCTTGAATATGACTTAATATTCTTCATGGTTCAGTTGATGTATACTTATATTCTTATTCATGGCCAATGGGCACTTTGTATCCACGGTTACGAACTTGATTAATAAAGGTGAACGTCATGCAAATTGATGGCGATATATGTGACAGAGCTCAGTGGTGAATTGAACTTGTAGCGGTAAATAAATCCCCAAAATAAATAGCTCTGTAAGTTTCCGACATTCGATGCTGACCACAGTTTTAATGGACTCATCTAGCTGAAGGCGCTCGGTCATGCATTCGCACCAGATCACGTGTGGAAACGCCGTGCTCAACAATCCCTGCAATCGCTAGCCAGATTAGACCAGGCGATCCTCGACATATTGATAGTTTATCAAATATATCTTCGAACCTCCTTGCTTCTGTCTTTTGATTTCACTTGGTGGGTACACTTCATATTAGAAGGTGTTACTGGTTAAAGCGTTGTCAAACTCCCAATACCTGTGGTATCTTCTTTGGTGAGCCTGACGTGATTTGGTACACCATATTGTAAACTGTGAGTATGTTTCTTTTTGTGATTTTGTATGTCATTGTCTTATTTCCATTTTTTTAACATTGTGTTATTTTTTACCGTGTTTTTGGATATATCCATATTTGCCACTCCTTCATTTTCGTACTTGATATATTACTATGACTGAACAGACACCTAAATTACTTAAGTTTAAGACTGTGTCCCCATCGTCCTTCCAACCAATGTCTTTCTGGCCAGACAACATCGAAGCCTGGTTTTGCTACACAGAAGCCGACTTCTACGAGCACGGCGTGAACGACACACGTGCACAATTCCTCGCAGAAGTCAAGGCACTACCGCGCGAATTCAACAGGTACGCAACACCTAGTATGTTTACTAGTGGTGTCTCTGACCCGTACGAAACCCTCAAACGATCCATTCCTAAACGCGGAGATCTAACCGATCGACGAAAGTTAGACCAACTCTTTAACAACATCGACCTGCAACACGGTTCTGCCACAGACATGTTGCAAAGAATGCGAGAAGTCATTGGCCAAAGAACCTTCGATGACGGCCTATTCAAACAACTTTTCTTATCCAAACTTCCTCAAAAGGGGCAAGCTGTGCTGGTCTCGTCTCAAAACAACGCCCTAGACGAGCTGGCTGCATCTGCCGATCGTATCCTCGATATAACTAAACCTTCCAATGCCGAGTTTTTTTCAGTCAAAGAAAAGCCTCAAACGAACCAGAATGACATGACAGAGTTATGTCATACACTTACGCGTATCATAAACTTCGTAACGATCGTAAACGGTCACACACCACACGAAGAAGCACATTACGTAGGCGATCTGTCTCTAGACCGCGAGAGACGGATAATCCTGACTAGTGCTGGTACCATAACCAGTATGAAAAGTCCGCCAGAAATTGCAGAAAACCCTGCAATATTCCCTACTCAAAATCGGTCGACACGAAAAATGTTTCGGGAAACTTCCAAGCCGGTACGTGTTAACGGCAGCCGTAGCCGGCGAACATAGCCGTCTTTTATATGTCACTGGTGTGATAACGAGAGTTCGCTACCTCGTAGATACTGGCGCAGAGGTTAGCGTTCTCCCAGCGAATTCCAACGACCGGCTTCACGATTCGGTTTTAAATCTACAGGCGGCAAACGGAAAGCCTATCCCTACGTATGGCAATCGGTACGTTTATCTTAACGTGGGTTTACACAAACCCATTCACTGAATCTTTGTTGTTGCAGATGTTTCTATGCCAATCATTGGTATGGACCTTCTACAACACCACAACTTAATTATCGATACGCACAAACGGAGGTTAGTAGACGGAAACACTAATTTATCTGTTTGCCTGACTTCTTTTTCTGGTTGCAGGTTATCTCCAGCCACAATTAAGCACACTATAGACCCTTCTATCAACCACTACTCGATAAGTATTCTGGCATTTACCAATCGCAACCGAAATTGCCGTGTGTAACCAGCAATGTTACACATCACATCACGACTACAGGACCACCTGTCTTCTCGAAAGCACGCCGACTGGCCCCCGAAATGTTAAGGTTGGCGAAAAACGAATTCGACCATATGATGAACTTAGGAATCATTCGACCGTCAAATAGCCCATGGGCATCTCCGTTGCACATGGTCCCTAAAAAGGACAGCAACGATTGGCGTCTAACTGGTGACTATCGGAGATTGAATGCAAAAACCATTCACGATCGTTACCCGTTGCCTCACATTCACGATTTGACAGCTACCTTGAAAGGTGCAACTGTCTTTTCAAAAATTGACTTGGTAAAAGCTTATAACCAAATTCCTATGGCCACTGAAGACATTCCAAAAACCGCTATTATAACGCCCTTCGGACTCTATGAATTTTTGCGAATGCCTTTCGGTCTGAGAAACGCGGCACAGACTTTCCAAAGGTTCATAGATGACGTTTTTCGAGGTCTCAACTTCGTACATGCATACGTTGATGACTGTCTAATAGCAAGTCCGGACAGAGAATCACATCTCCAGCATCTGGACCTTGTTTTCGACCGACTACAAAAACATGGCATTACCGTGAACATTCATAAATGCCAAATCGGAACCGAATCCTTAGACTTCCTAGGACACACCGTAGATGCACATGGCATTCGACCCCTTAGAACAAAAGTGGCGGCCATTCTGGATTACCCAGAACCGACCACCATCAAGCAATTGCGCACGTTTAACGGTCTGGTAAGCTTTTATAGACGATTCATACCGAAATGCGCGTTACTTATGAAACCCCTTACCGACCAACTTCGCGGAAATGCGAAATCCATTAATCTAGATGACACTACCCGAAAAGCATTCTCCACGGTTAAGGAACAAATCGCCCGAGCAGCAATGCTTGCCCATCAGCAATCGGAGCAGTCTTACAACAATGGGTTAACCACTCCTGGCAACCTTTGGCATTTTTCTCTAGACGGTTGCTAGACACTGAATCGAGGTACAGCACATTCGGTAGGGAACTCCTAGCTATGTATTGTGCTGTCCGGCATTTTCAATACTACATCGAAGGCCGTGAATTTACCATTTATACCGACCATAAACCACTTACCTTCTCCTTAAGCTCTTCTTCGGACAAGTACTCACCACGTGAGTCTCGACAACTGGACTACATTTCGCAGTTTACTTCAGATATTCGACACATTTCTGGAGCAAACAATGTAGTTGCAGACGCCTTGTCTCGTATAAATGCCTTGAACAGTTCCCAAGGAATCGACCTTTTAAAACTCGCCCAACTTCACAAAGAAGACAGTGATCTTCAGCACGAGTTGGCCTCAACAACACTTAAACTGCGCATTAAACAGATGGGAACAGGTAACGAAACCTTACTTTGTGACACATCTACAGGTAGGGATCGCCCAATCGTGCCGAAACAATATCGACGCAACGTCTTCGATACGTTGCACAAACTTTCTCATCCAGGTGTTCGTGCAACCATCAAGCCTATAGCAGAACGGTTTTGCTGGCCTGGTATGAATAAAGATGTGAGGGAGTGGGCACGCTCCTGTGTAAGCTGCCAGAAATCTAAGGTTATTAGGCATAACAAATGTCCCTTAGGCTCGTTTAAAACTCCCGATGCTCGCTTCGATCATGTCCATTTGGATTTGGTAGGACCTTTACCAGATTCGAATGGATATTCTTATCTTTTAACATGCGTAGACCGTTTTACTCGATGGCCAGAAGCAGTACCCATCAGAGATATTACTGCTGAAACAGTGGCCCGCGCCTTCGTCGAGAGGTGGGTAGCAAACTTCGGCTGCCCAACAACCATTACTACAGACCGTGGACGTCAGTTTGAATCTGAACTGTTCCTTTGTTTGACCATGAAACTAGGAATCACTCGCTTTCGAACGACGGCCTACCACCCACAAGCAAACGGGTTAGTAGAACGTTTTCACCGACAACTAAAAGCGTCACTATTAGCCTCAAACATTTCTCAGTGGACTGACGCTCTTCCACTCGTCTTACTAGGCATACGCAATGCAGTGAAATCTGACATTGGATACACTGCATCTCAACTCGTTTATGGAACGACCCTTCGACTTCCAGGAGAGTTCGTAGATCCTTCATCCTCTTCGATGGACATGGATCTAACTTCCTACGCGAACAGGCTTACAAACGCGAAGCGTTCAGTTAAACCTGTTTTCACTAGACCACATTCAACTGATGTTTTCGTTCAACCTGACTTACTACATAGTACACATGTTTTCGTGCGTCGAGACTCGCATCGATGACCTCTCGAATCAACATATGAAGGACCTTTCAAAGTTCTTCAACGCGAATCTAAGTACTATATATTCGATAAGAACGGAACCAACGAAAGCATCAGTATCGATCGCCTCAAAGCAGCGTATTTAGAAGGAAATCCTATTCACATCGATTTTCCTTCAATACAATCGCACGACACAAATCCTGCGCTTATAATGCCTCAATCGACAGCAGACACACACGTTGATACTTCGACAGTATCCGAAAATAAACTCAAAACAACGCGTTCTGGAAGAACAGTAAGATTTCCAGAACACTTGAACGATTACTGCACGTAAGACACAAGTTAACATTTTATATCATCTAGATTTTCCCTTGTACTATAGATAATTTTTCTTGTTTTTAAATAAATTTAATATACTTAAATTTCTATGTTTTTATTTCAAAAAAAACATAAAACCATATTATAAAAATCCCTTTTTACGCTATTACGTGAGCATGAGTTTATTTTCTATTTTTTTCGCCCGCTTTATGTTTTTGCGCGCGTACGAGTGTATTCCGACATCCACTTACATATTTTTCTTCTCTTTTCCAGTACGACTGGAAAAGACGATGAAAAGAACGATGAAGTTTACGATAGAAAAGAAGCCTTCATTGTACTTCTTTTTTCACTATATTGTACATCATGGTCCATTATAGTAAGG